GTAATAGCGTCTATGGTGGAGCGCCCGCGACGAAAACCAAACTGGTTCTCGTCCAGGTCCGGCCCCTCTCTGCACAAGTGGCTGACGAGGCGATCTGCGATGATGCGCTCAAGAAGTTTGCCCGCCTCGTCGAGCAGCACTATGGGCCGGTACGCGGACGGTGAGTCCGCGGGGCGCCCCTCCTTCCTGAGCAGGACCAGCCTCCCCTCCTTCCACACACTGGGAAACTGACCCTGCTCGAGACATGCCGTGAAGAGCCCACCTAACCTAACCTAACCCAACCTTTACATTGTGGCTGACCCAACACGCACTTGGCCAGTTTTTTATTGATTGATTGTCTAAATTGTAACCTATGTACTAACAATTTTATATTGCAGAATCGTCACATAGCGGCATGTCGAGAGTAGAGCATTTCCACACGCTCGCGCGTTGTGAGGCGTGCAAAATATAATTTGCCGGCGTCTGTCTTTCCTTCCAAATACAATCGGGGCGGTATACAAACGTGTAGTGGCCGTGTAAGAACATCCACTACCCCATATAATCCCGCGGGTGTTTTAAGAGGCGACTGAGGGAAATAAATCAGGAGATGGGCAGCAGCAGCCTCTTCCTAATAACAACTAAAAATAAAAAAAACTGTGTATAGTGCATTTATTATTTATTAATATAAATCTATATTATTTCTGTCTTGAGATCCCAAGTCCAAAGTTAACGTAGTCGCACCCTAATGCAGTCGACCTTTCGACAACGTACTTATTAACCAATCGAGCCCGACACCAAGGCTGATACGATCGGCAAACTAGACAACGCGTGTCATTGATGCTCGCGGCTCATGTACACGACATATATTTGGGTCAACAGCTCTTGTGCGAGGCTTCGTTTTAGCTTAGTATCGTATAAGCACACAGTCTATGTAGGAGTGGGGGAGATAGAAAATAAGAAATGTGTAGTGTACATCTACCCGCCTGGAAATTATGGCATATATTTCTAAATTTCAAAAAGAGCAGTGCTCTGATACAAACTTATATCATCTTAACAGCCTCTTACAAACTTAATGTTGAACATACACTTCCAAGGTATGGTCGTGAGCCACCTGTATTCATCAACTCGCAGAATGCCTTATCAGTTTCTCCAGTATATTGTGTGGTTCGTCAGTATATTGTGTGAACATCCGATACCATGAGATTCTTCCTCGAGAACCTTTGTCTTCCATAGATTTCTTCGATTGTTCGATGTAAATGACCAACCCATTGTCACATTGGCTTTCTAACCCCATAAGCTGTATCAGTTACTCTGGTTCTACTGTGGATATCCTTGTTACAGTATTTATCACGTAAAAAATTAGGAGCTTAACCCTCTTGATAACTCGTTGAGTGACCTGAAACTATCTCTTACAGCTAACAGTGACCGACCAAGTATCTGTTGCTTGTGTTGCAATTACATCACGACTGATTAAATGTTTCCTATTTACGTTCTGATATAGGCACATACTTGACAAAAAATTATGTCGTAGTTTTCTAAATGCTGCCTGGTGTTTATTTCATCGCTATGTTTATTTTTAAAAAGCACCAGCGGTATTCTTACCTTGGATCCTATACGATGGAAGACTGGAATTTGGCTTATTAGTTTTTTTTGCCCGCTATTATTTGGTTGCCGGAATGTCATTCATTAGTAAAGCGAGTTTACCACGTGCAACTGAGGTTGGTGTTCAAACATCATTATGTGTTTTACTGGTAACGAGGTAGTCCATTCTAGACGTCAGAGATTGCTTCCATCTACATATGGATTCATAATCAAGAATAGATATAGGTGCCTATTGCCACAGCATTCACTTGCCATCAGTTGGACTGTGTGCTCGTTTGTCACCCTTACTCCTATACAAAAGAGTGCTACGATTTAGCGTTCCTTTCCTTATTATTAAAATGTGGGTGCCTTCAAGGCAAAAGTAAATAGGCTTTTGTCTCTTTAAGCCACTGCGCCATCTTCGAATCCATCACCACTTACAAGCTGTTGGGACTGGCAAGAACTGGCTTATAGTATTTGAAAGATATAATACTATTATATAATACATATATTTTGTATAGTGTTATTCGCTTAAATGTCCTAAACACACACACAACGATATCCAACGTGGAACATGAATTTCATTACACAGGACGCACGTGATTATCAAGATTAATCCGAACGGGTTATAGGTGGGACAAGCTGGAGTTCTTGGATGCGTGCCATCGCAATTTGTTCTTTATCATAAACGGCATAAGGCGCACCCTACAATCTTCAGAGAAGCCTGTTGAACAATAGTTTTTAATCAGATTCTCGGAGCAGTAAATAATGGTGGATGTGGTATATCATTCTAGGGTTTATTGCTTTTGTAATTTTCATACGATGCCTAGAGGCTTTATCTTGCAGTTCTGGTCATCTTAAGAAAATAACAATTTAGAACAGTCTTTAAAACTTTAATATTATTTCATCGTCAGTTAAATATCAACAAAGGTATTATTGTATTTTGATATGTTTTTTTTTTCTTATTACAAGGCTGTGTCGTTATTTAATTACCAGTACATTGATAATATCGCTTAAAATTTCTCTGGTTTCTTTTTGTATAACAAACGTTACTTCTCCTGTATCGTGGGGCCAGTTTACGTACATAAATTTCATCCAGATCCGGAACAATTATTTCTAGGCCATACAAATACTTGTTCCGTGCGAGATTCGAATCCGCGGTCCTTAGCGCTGCAACTCATTGCTAAGCCACTGCGCCACGTAGCCGTCATATCGTTTGGACTTGCTATTCTAATTTCACAAAAGTTGTCAAGATTACGGATTTTAGGCTAAAACCGCGTGCATGAAGCTTTCTGTAGCCTATAGTTACGAGAGTATAAAGATCTTTTTTATATTAAGATATACTCGTATTCTTAATATTAAATTTCTCCATAACATAAAAACACTGATTACTTATAAAAACTTACCACAACCGAAATTTATTAATCCCGCACGAATGATGAATATGGGAAAATAGTGGATGCAACGGACGGCATCACACTAAGATTCCTTTGTTGCGGTTCACGTGACGTGGATATTAAATTTCAACCGCAGAGCGCCTCCGACGTGACGCAGGCGATGGGGTATTCAGCTCACTGTTGATGATAATCCTTTGATAGGTTATATCGGAAAGGAATTTGTAGTTTGAAATTAGAACACCGGCACGTAAGAATTTAATCAGCTTCATAGTTTCTTTATCATTTTTAAAAGAAACATTTTGGCTAGATGAAGTAGCAAACTTTGGAATTTGGAAACGAATTGCATATTCAATGCGCTAGAATGACGACCAATTAATTACGGAGTTCAAATTATATAATTGGACAATGTTTTAATGTATTTATAACACAGTATCACGATTTCTCTAGTTGGTTGATCGATTTCTCTATTTTTTTTATTAATAAATATGATTTCATAGTAGTCCCATATAAGTTTCAATCAGATTAAAGAATTTTTCTGGTACACTTATTCTACACTTCATCTGACAACAATATAAATTAATATAACGTGAATATATGGTGTATTCCTATTAGGCCTACAAAGTAGTCGTATACACATATAAGATTATTGGAGTTTCTTACCAAATATACCTAACTGGTAAGACCATTGGGGAAGAACATTCTCGGTAGTCCTCCATAGAGAACTATTTTATACAAATATATTGGAATCTTTAATCTTTGAAAGCTTTAATACGTTTGAAGTTATATAAATTAATTTCGTAAGTCTCTTATTCCCAACAATTAGAATTATGTTCTCCCATTCGAATATCATTCGACATTATTGCGAACCGATTGCGCATCGATACTAATCATTCCTCTGTTGCGCGTTTGACCCGCTGAACTCGGGGAGATCGATTTCATAATCGAAACGTGAGAATCGTGCTCGGATGATGCGAATGTATTCTTCATTGTAAAATGCATATATGTTCGCAAAAACGTTGTTATTATAACTATTAAAGAGATCTTAAGAAAAATTACATTAAATTGTTAGTTAGCTTTGGTCTTTGACAAACATAAAAAACAACATATAGATTACTACTGCCATGTGTCATGGTTTTTGAAAATCATAAGTTGCACGGTACGGGATAGTGGAATCAGAATCCTGTGGACATTAGCAGACAGTTTTATAGAACTATGGAAGTGTCTTGTGCGAAAAATGATCGTAGAAACTAGCTCACTTTTATATTATGTTATTGTGCATCTTATATTATCACTAACATGATCCAAGTCTTAACATTTCTATAGATACCAATTGAAAATTAACGAAATTAACAACTTTTAGTTCTTTTTTTAATTTGTCGATTGTACGAGTATATTTTTTTTATTTTAAACAACACCTGCAACGCTATTAACAATTATACTAGTACCTATAATAAGAGATTAAAGGAACTTACCAAGTGAAGTTCAATCCTTATTATATGATGTGTTTTGTTCGAAGATATATATTTTACCATGTAGTTTCCTTTATTTTACTGCTAGTTAACACGCGTTTGTTCAGAGTTTTTTTTTTTTGTGATGTCCACACTCTGAACCTGGTAACCCTGTAACTTATCTAGCAATGTCATTAGTTTTAGAGATATATTTTCATAACTCTACATGTGTGGGATACATAGAATAGGGTAGGGTGGGTGTATATATCTTCGAACAAAACACATCATATAATAAGGATTGAACTTCACTTGGTAAGTTCCTTTAATCTCTTATTATATTTCTGTGTTTTGTTCTCGATATATATTTTACCATGTAGATATTCAGAGACCAGTAGAGTTATGAAGACTATTTATTATTCATTATTATGTATCTTATATAAAGTAATATAATAATTAAATGAAATTATCACATAGTAATAGCATAATCATTTTTTAAGATTAATTAGACTGTGTTACCTTAATTAATTTTATTAAAGTAAGTGTTTGTGTCTATTTGTTTACAGACTTATATTAATGTACTAAGTGTGCATTAGCTTTACTTAGCTGAAAGAATGTAATTGGCAAAGTTATTATCCTCTTCAATTGGCCTGTTGTAGAATTTTGCAAAATTCTCAGAAGACTTGGACCATCCAGCAGTTTTTCTAATGATATCTAATGATACGCCTAAATATTTTGCATTAGATGTAGAGGCGTGTCTCGTGCTGTGAGCCTTAAATTCTTTTGTATCTATACCACTCTCACATAATACGCTTTTAATCCATCGACTGATGGTTTGAGCAGTAGCCTGTTTATAAGGCTTTTTAAATGTTATCAACAAGTAGTCTATGTCACCTCTGATCTCATGTGTAATTTTTATATATTCTTCTAGTGCTTTAGCTGGGCAGATGGATTGGTCCTCAACAAAGTATGGGAGAAACATTCTAGGTTGTTGCGTTCTCAAACTGGAAGTTTTTATGATGTCTGTTATATTTACATAAATCCCTTCGCTTGAGTGAACTATATTAGATAATTTAATGAATGAGATGGTTTGAGCTCTATGTGCTGTACAGATGGCCAGAAGAGTGGTCACTTTTTTCACAATTTTTTCTAATGTTAGTAAGTTGTTTGGGTACCATTTACTTATGTAGTTTAAAACTTTGGATGGGTTCCATGTTGATGTATATTTGGGTAGTGGAGGTCTTTCTCGATAGAAACCTTTAAATAGTCTTTTTATTCTGTCATCATTATTATTTTTTAAATTCAATATTAAGGACAATGCTGACCTGTGTGCATTAAGTGTACCATATGATGATCCGCTTAGGAAACAATTTGTTAAGAAAGACATTACCATGGGTACAGATGCCTCATATGGTGATATTCTATTTTCTATACAGAATGGCCACCATATTTTGTATGTAACGCTGTACTGATCGAGAGTATTCTTAGATAATGAGTTAATCATAATGTCAAGTGCAGCCTTAGGCACAGATTTATTAGTTAGTGCTTGCCGGAGAGTTTCCCTGCAACCAATGTAAGTTGTTGATACAGTGGGTGAGTAATCCTGAAAGGAGAAAGTAATAACTTTTTGTGTGGTTTGAATATTATCCAGTCAGATATTAGTAAAATTTGGGCGAGTGGGAACCAGGGTTGTGAAGGCCACCAGGGGATAACAACTATTCCTATGGCCTTATCATTCTTTATTTTTTGTAAGCATTTCAATATAAGGCTAAAGGGTGGGAATGCATAAAAGTACAGGTTTCCCCAGTTGATGGTAAAGGCATCTATATTTAATGCCTCTGGGTCTTGTTTCCATGATATATATTTACTGCACTTAGCGTTTTGTCTAGATGCAAATAAATCTATTTCTGGCATTCCTAGCTCCTTAGTTATTATATTGTATGCTTTTTCACATAATTCCCATTCGGTATCAATATTGGTCTTTCTTGATTCAAAATCTGCTTCTGTGTTTTCTTTAGAACTTATGTATGATGCTGTAAGTTTTATATGCCGTTCTTCACACCATTGCCAAATATTTCTGGCTAGTTGGTTAAGGTGTGGGAATTGTATGCCTCCCATCCTATTGACATAAGATATTGCAGTTGTATTATCTACTCTCAATAAAATCTCACAATTTTTCTCGTATTTTGCAAATAATTTTAAACCAAGAAAGACTGCTTTTAATTCTAAGTAATTAATATGATACTCTTGTTCACTTATTTTCCATAGTCCATTGACTTTTTCTTTGCCACATACACAGCCCCAGCCTGTTCTACTTGCATCTGTATAGATTTCTTTTGTGTACTGATTTTTCCTAATGTGTTTACATGTATTACTTATTTTTAATGACCACCAGCTAAGGTCTTCTTTAATTATGGATGGGAGGGTTATTGTAGCATCATAATTACTATTGTTTTGTATTAAGGTTAGATATTTTTGGCGTTCCAGAATTTTTGTATATAACCATCCATATTCTATTGCTGGGCAGACTGCTGTTAAAGTTCCTATCAATTTTGATAGCTCTCTAATAGTACAGTGTTTAATTTTTATAAATTTACTAACAAGTGTTGATACAATAACCCTTTTATCGTTTGGTAGAGAGATGGTCATGTTAGTGGAATTAAATTGGAATCCAAGATATTTGAATTTTTGTTTGGGCTCTAAAGCACTTTTTTCTTTATTAATAATAAGTCCTAGACATTCCAAGAGTTTTGTTGTTTCTTGGACATTTTTGAGGCAGCTAATATAATTTGACCCAATACAAAGTATATCGTCCAAATATATTACAGAATTAAGCCCCCTTGAGCGCAGATGTGTGACCACCACTTTCATTATTTTTGTAAAGACACATGGTGCTGAGCATAGGCCATAGGGTAGTGCATTAAATTCATAATACTTATTATTATAAATAAATCTTAAAAACTGTCTTTGACTGTTGTCAATTGGTACTAAAAGATAAGCCTCTTTTAAGTCTATTGTTGCACAAAATGCACCTTTTGTCAGCAATCCAATTACCGTTCTGTAGTCTTCCATTTTAAAGTGGGGTACAGAGATAAATTTATTTAATTGTTTTAAGTTGAGGATAAATCTCATTTCTCCGCTGGGTTTCTTTCTTAAAAAGATATTAGATAAGAACTGATGCTTAGATGGCTGACATAAGGATATTGCTCCTATTTTAATAAGTTTTTCCACTTCATTGCTCATTTGCTGTTGTTCCGCATCACTTGTTGGTTTAAACTGAGATGGTATTGTTTTTTGTATAACTTGTGTAGAGAAAGGGATTTTGTAACCCCTCACCCAATTAAGAATCTGCTGGTTGTCAGTGATGTTTTCCCAACAAGAGACAAAGTGTTTTAGTCTACCTGCATGACATACCTTTATTTCTGCACACGGGATTTGACGTCCTTTGACTGAAGAGGCAAAGCAGTTGCCCCTGTCCGGCGGATTGGCAGCATTGGCTTCTTGTACCCACCCCGTGCTGTGCTCCGTGTTGCTGGAGCAAACCGTTGTTGAGTTCGGGGTGGGCCACTGAAGTTTCCCTGTTTGTTACTTTTATGCTGAGAGGTTTGTGAGTACACATTTTTGTTCATATTATAGTCAGTCTTTTTTATAGATTGACTAGATTTTTCTATAATTTTTACAGCTTTAATTTTTTCGGATAGGTTTCTACCATACAGGAATTCATCATGGTCAACATCCTTAATTACATTTAGAAAGCTTTTATCTAATGTAGGTGTTATTAACTTCTTTCTAGTTTGAGTCTCGTTAAAGTGAAGATCTGTAAGTATCCTCGCTGCGTCATTTAAGTTTTTTATTATTTGCATTTTTTCTCCTTTATCTTTCAGCACAAGTGACATGGCCCTACCGAGGGCTGTCAGGCCTATACCTAGTTGCTGCTGAAAAAACTCGATCTTTTTATCGCGGTTTTTCGCCATTTCTGTAATGGCTGTGGCAATTTCTGGGTTTAATATGGGGGCTAGGAGCAGTTCACAGTTTGCTGGAATTTGGTACAGCTTTGTTTTACTTTGTTGAGGCCTTTCCTAAGAATAGGTGTCCAGCGTGATGCCAAGTTGTCACTTATATCTGGGCCAAATTTTTGCTTTTCCACAATTGGGTCGCCCAAAATGAGGAGCACCTCAGGATCTAATACCTCTGCCTCCTTATCCACATTGCAAGGCATGTGCTGCTCTGTCGTTTCGGCAACCTCAGTAGTGTTGGGTCCTACCTCATTACAAGTTACAGTATCACCATGATGGTGAGGTAATTCGACAGTATTCGTTTCTGCGGCTGCTTCTGGAGACTGTGGTGTCCCCCCCCTCACTTCTATTATTTCGTCATCTGTAAAGATGTAAATTACATGTAAATAGGAGCATAACGCGTACGGTATCGCGTACAGTATGCGCTTGCACAATGCCTTCGTAATGTCTCTCGGACATTCCCCGGGCCTAATAATGCTCGTGTGTGCATCTCGTACACACCCCGAGTAAAAATTTTGCTTAATTTTGTTGCTTACCTTGAGTTTCGACAAAACTGTCGCATTCCGATGGGGTTGTCGGACAGCGGCTACGTTGTTTTTCTTCTAGTTTCCTGATTTTTCTATAATATCTTTGTAAATCACGTTCTATATCCTCTTTTCGCCTTTTCGGCATTATTCTTTTTGAAACTGATCGCTATTTTTCCCGATGTAATTTAATTGCGTGTTAATCTTAGCGCGCGAAAAAAAGGAATGACATTGCTAGATAAGTTACAGGGTTACCAGGTTCAGAGTGTGGACATCACAAAAAAAAAAAAACTCTGAACAAACGCGTGTTAACTAGCAGTAAAATAAAGGAAACTACATGGTAAAATATATATCGAGAACAAAACACAGAAATATAATGACGTCTTATATTCACACAAATACTAATTTTACGCATTTTATCGCATTAAATTTAAACGCCATAAAATAACTAAAAAATAAGCTGTTAAACTCTCTAGCAAAGCTAAAAATTCTTGTGGTTTATGTAGATTACGACAGTAGTTAAACAGCGGGTTTTAAATCAAGACTTCTTGGTTTCGCAGCCCGTCCTGATTTTGTAATTCGTAATCACACTATTTTAATCATTTCAGACCATCTTAATTTAACTTTCATAATCCATCATCCAGACATGTACTTTACATCAGGAGGGCTGTCTGTACTGGCATGTCACACACGTTCTATAAATAATAATTAAAAAAAATAAGAACTGTAGGTGACAAATTTCCACTTCAGCGAACTATTCCATTGGGTTTAGTTACTTGCTTATGTTCAACTGCCGAAATTCTCGTTACAAATTCTTTCCCATCGCACATAGCTACTAAGCGACTCCAAACTTCTATTTGCAGCCTTGTATACCAAACAAAAGCAATAGCGAAACAGTTCAATCAATGTGGATTACATACAGTACGAGTGTTCCGAAATCGCGTACACTGCACAACAATAATTTATGATTCCCCGCATTCATAAATCAATACGAACGCGCAAACAGAAATAGTCGCTGATGACATAACCAAGTGCGTACGCAAGTGTTGAGCGGTTACATGATTGAACGGTCCGCGAGGTCGCAGGGTCGAGGTCCGACCTCTCCTTTCACTTGCACGCGTTGCCCAACACATGCGTCTATTGAAATACGCGAGATGTATTGATCCGGCTAATCTCGATTATTATGAAGCATATTTATATTTCAACAATGCTTTTGGATGTAAGTTCAGTTTCTATTGTTTAATAACTTGTACTTTTGTTGTTTACTGTCAAGCTCTAATCCTGATAATGGTATTCTGACCTACCGTGACCACTGTTCTACTGTGTATTGTTCAACTACGCAGGATATATTAAACTGTCATATAAGCATAAGTACAACTTTTTATACCAGTGAGGATGTTGATGGTTTTTGAATTTTGTATTTCATAATGACCATTATTTTTTACCATATATTAATTTCGTTTAGACTATCGCGAAGTTACTCTCTTAAATTTGGATTGAACCCATGAAAAAAATTGCCGAATTTTCAATTGTTTGTGAAAACTGAATCATAAAGCTATCATATAGCTTCCGTAAGAACGGGTAACAATGGGCTCGCCTGTATACAAATCGGCTAAACCTACCCAGGCGGAGTCCAAGGCAGAAGAGGAATCAGACGGTTTTATTTTTTTTTATGATTTATTATTTTACCCTTTTTAATTTACCAAGGTATATCACTAGTTCCAACTAGTTCATTCTCTAATTTTCCACCATCAGGTATGAAATATTATCGTTAAATTTATATGGCCTTACCCTTGATATAAATTTCTATATGGTAGAGCCATGCTGCAGCTATATTATGGTTGTAGCACAAATGGGTCGGCTCGAACGGGGAAGGACCACCCTCTCACAGAAAACCAGCGTAAAATAGCAGCTTAACGCTGCTATGTTTCGTATGGTGAGTGTAGAGAACCGGAGACCCTTTTTACTGGCAAAGAGGCATTCCATCTTAGTCCTCACGGGTGACAACGCATCTGCATCTTGAGTCTTTATTGAGGATAGATGTAGATGTCTATGGGGCACAGTAACCACTTACCATCAGGTGGACTGTGTGCTCGTTTGTCACCCGATCCTATAAAAAAAAAACCTTGTTTTTGGTACGCGGTTTTTTTTTTTATAGGATAGCGTGACAAACGAGCACACAGTCCACCTGATGGTAAGTGGTTACTGTGACCCATAGACATCTACAGCTATCTTCGTTTGCGAAACAAAATGCAGATGCATTGTCATCCGTGAGGACTAAGATAGAATGCCTCTTTTCCAGTAAAATGGGTCTCCGGTTCTCTACACTCCCCATACGAAACACAGCAGCATTAAACTGCTATTTTATGCTGGTATTCTGTGAGAGCGTGGTCCTTCCCCGGTCGAGCCGACCCATTCGTGCTACAACTATACTACTAATATAGCTGCAGCATGAATCTACCATGTGCGAGCGGTTAAAAAAGCTCTATTAACCGGAGTATTTTTGGCATTGTGTAGTAATATGACATACTATAATATGAGGTGGAGAGTGGTGGTGTAAGATAATTCACCGCCCCATATCATCACTTGAGCGTCGTAAGAGGCGGAAACTGAAACAGTCTAATTGATATGTAAAAAATAATGAAAAACTACCGTTGCTAACCCCTGTCTGCCTGCTAAGCCTGTTTAATATTACAAATATCCCACGTATGAGGCAACATTATGGGAAGAACTATGTGCAGCAAGTGGGCTTTTACTAATCTATATTTAAAAAATAAGTAATATTAACGTATACAATTTGACGGCTCCGAGGCGACTGGCTGCTAAGCCACTGCGCCTCGGAGCAAAATGAGTTACGGCGCTGAAGGCGTGGGTTTGATTCCCGAGTATTGTATTTTATTTATAGAATAAAGGTGACAAGCGAGCATTCAGCCCACCTGCTGGCAAGTGGATGCTGTGGCCATTAGACATCTACATCTATTCTCGATTAATAATAATCAAAACGCAGATGCGTTGACACCCATGAGGACTAAGATGGAATGTCTCGTATCCGGTAAAAATCTCCGGTTCTCTACACTCACCACACGAAACACAGCAGCAATCAAGCTGCTAGTTTACGCCGGCGTCCTGTGAGAGCGTGGTCCTTCCCCGGTCGTGCCGACCCATTCGTGCTACAACTATAATATAGCTGCAGCATGGCTCTACCACGTATAAAATGTATGGACCACATGTAATTGTTCCAGGTCTGAATGTTTGTCCTTGTGCTGTTTTGTATGTAATCTGTCTCCAGTATACAGAAGAAAATCCTAGTGTGCGTTACGTGTATTTAAGAAAAATAACCACAATATGAACCCCTATATCAAATAATATTAATTTCGGAAAACCGGGAGAAATACTGGCGCGAAAAAGAAGAATGAATTATGTTCATACATAAAAACATGAAAATCGCAACCCTATTTCGGCATCGCCCCAGTCAGGTAAATAAACCCTAAAGGATCAATGTCACACGTTAAAATCCATACCTAGCTCAGGGAAGCCTTATAAATAATTAAATTATGTGCATAAGCAATGGTAGGCTGCAAGCCGCCCACATTATTCAAATAACCTTGAGTCACAGGCGCCACGTACGTTTTGCATAGGAGGGATTACAAATGATACTGTGTATGACGAATAGACGTCGATTAAACATAATTTACACTCTGTCAGTAATTCATACAGTCCTTTGTTACAATCATTACAGCCCTTCACAAGTCCACGGCAAAATTTTACACTCTTACAGTAATTCATGAACCGTGTAGTGGCGAAGAATATTCACTATCCCATATCGTCCCGTGTGTTTCGTAAGAGGCGATATAGGGAATTGAAACACATGACGAACAGCAGCATCTTACTTATAACAATTCAAAATAATGAAAAACTGCGTTTGCCAGCCCGCCGACCACACGTGGCAAAAATGGCAAAATCTCCCTATGAGGGAATCTATAGGGGAAGCCTATATTTAACAGGCTGTAATATTGTAGCTTGATTTATAAGCGATATAATTCTTTGCGAAAACGTCCCCGTTGGCGAATTTTTTCTCCTACAATTACGTAAACACGGCATTTAAAAGGGGGAAAATTGATAAGGAAAATATTTACGTTTCCAATTTAAATTCGGGCCAACACAGCACGATACGTTACTACCGTTTATTAGGCTCACGTAACCGGCATTTTTCGGGTCTACGCGTTTGACTTTATATTGCATTGTAAATTAGCGCTGATCTGATCTGGAGGTGTTTGCATGGGGTAAGTTACTGTAAGGAAGTATCTAGCTGCCCTATTCCGTGAATAACAAGCACAAGCATTCTTAGCAATAGGTTGGCTTAATCGTAGTGTATGGTCTCATTTTTTTATAGAATAAGGGTGACAAATGAAACACGTACCAGCCATTCCACCATATATTTTTAGTGGCCGCTAATCGGAATACACTAACTGCTGAAAATATAAATTGAAATTTTAAGTATTAAGATTTATTAAATTTTTATGCGTGGTAGAGCCATGCTGCAGCTATACTTAGTTGAAGCTCGAATGAGTACTCGACCGGGGTAAAACCACGCTTTTACAAAATACTGGCGTGAAATAGCAGCTTGATGCTATTTACTGGATACGAGGCATTCTATCTTGGTCCTCAGGGTGGCAACGCTTCTGTATTTTAATTTTTAATCGAGGATAGTTACAGATGTCTACGACCCACATTTTCCAATTGCCATCGGGTGAACTGTGTGCTTTTTGTCGCCCTTATTCTATTAATAAAGTCCTTATTTATCATATTATGCCCTTTTGTGAAAGAAAGAAGAAAATATTTATTAATTAAAACATTTGGTTTAGTTTATTGTTCATTACGTATTGAGTTAGAATTGGCGTCCCAACTCCCAATGGCGCAAGAAAAAAACTTAACCTCCACACTAGGATTTTTCCTGCATCGTAGGAAAAGTTTATTGTTGTTGTACAAACATCACAACAATTATTTGTAGGCAAATACTTGTCCCGTGCGGAATGCGAACCCGCGACCCTATACGCTGCACACAAGCACGAATGTATTCTAAATATTTACATTAAAAACTTCATCCCCTATTATCCAATTCTTAGGTGTAGATTTTTTTCTCATATA